GAGGTCTCAAATGTTAATTGTCGATAATATATCCAGAATACAAAACCAAGCATATTCATAATCACATCACAAGTCTTAAACATGCTCCCACCAGAGACTCAACACTCTAAAGTCCAAAACATGGTTAATTAACAAGTTAAATTATCATCCTTCTGAACTCGAAATCAATCTTTAGAAAATATAAGAATTATTATCTCCATCCCAATATATTTGTCCATTTTGACTTTTTCAAGTCAAACTGGATAAACTTTGAACTTTAATTACTCTCAATTTATGTTGCATATTAGCATAATGAAATACAATTTTGAAAGTTCTCAATACGGTAAATCCAATAAAGTCATTTTTATGTTAAAATACATTACAGTTCTTATTTAATTGAAGCTCAAAGTTTGTCCATTTTGACTCGAAAAAGTCAAACTAGAAAAATACACTGGGACAGATAGAGAATGTATCTAGTTAGTGTCTCTCCATTCTCATCATTTTTTTTTCATTTTTTAAAAATTTTTTATTTTTTTGGAAATGTCCCAAAAAATCTCTATCTCTATCTCTATCTCTATATATACAAAGATGAGATGCACTTTTGAACAGTATTTCCGCCAAAATAGTTGGGCTGGGTATACCATTACGGGCCAGGCGTAATCAATGGGCTGAGATTGACAGCTGTATATGAGTTATTGCTGAAGCCTAATTTAGGTAGGGTTGTAGTCCACCTTTTGTTAAAGAAAAAATTGCATTAATTGCACAGATTTAAAAAATATTTGGGAAACCCGTGCAAGCATGGAGTGATAGTTGATAGATAGCCTAGCAGTAAGCTTCTCCTCAAGCGTATCAGATAAGCTTCTCACATCCGTATATCCCTATGGACATCTCCTTCAGCTTCTCATTCTTCTCTCTATCACAGCAGCTTCCAAATTCATAGCAGACGAAGAACTGGACCTAGCAGCTTGGTCCAGGGACAATGAGGCAAATTCCTACTCAGGTATAAATTTCTTATCTACACTTACAATCCTCCGCCTCCTTCATGAAAAAGAATCAGAAAAAGCTAAGGCACAGTTAAAAGAATCGTGCATATCCATCTCTGATAAAAAATTGCAGGGGAGGGCTGCGTGAAACAGCCTCGAGCTAGGGTTATAACCCCAACTATGGATTCTGGCGAGAAAGACGGTTGGCCTAGCAAGACCACCGGTTGCAAGTCTTTCACCTCTCATCTTCTTTTTCTTCTTCTTATCTTTTGATTTTACATATTTACTCAAGTATATGTCTGATTTTGTAGTTGAAGAAAAAGAATTGGGTTGGATGAGCAATGCTCACCATGTGTTCGACGAAATGACTCAAAAAGATGTAGAGTCCAGGTAACATTTCATTTCTTACTACTTGGTTTAGTACTGGTCATATTGTGTTATTTCAGACATGAAATGCCATTTGAAGAGATTGGGTATCTCAAAGCTTAGACAAGCTCTCACAAGTTTAGGGAGAACCAAACAACAATTGAAGGTATTATGCTTTTAAGATAGCAATCACTCAACCAAGATTCATTGATTTGTGTTGGGATCCTATTTTTAAGCTTGAAATATGAGGTTAGTAATTAGTGGTTGGATTGGTTTTCTTTGAGTTTGATTTTGTTTTTGGACTGTTCTACAGAGTAGTATACTTGAATGTCAATAGAGAGTTTTCTTTTAGTTGCTTGGAGCATTTTCTTTTTAATAGGAGCTTAAAGCTTTTGCCACTGGAGAATACTCAACCAAGGTACTGCTTTTTTTTTCTTTCAAGACATTTTTATTCACTAAGATGTATAGAATTAATATGTGAATTTAAAAAAAATACTTCGTAGGTATTATTGCTTCTCCATCACCTTAGTGAAAATAAAGCTAATGACTAAATGGAGTTTTTAAAATAGTTAAAACTATGATCTCTTTAATCACTTCTAGCATGATGACTCTAAATTTTAAGACTTTAATTTGTCAAAAAAAAAACAGACTTTGTGTGAAGGAATGGACTAATAGACTTATCTGCAAGCATTTTTTGTCTAAACATGCAGCAATACTCATATGTTGTTTAGTTATTTAAACTTGAGCTCTCATCATGAAAACATAAAAAATAGATAAGAAAACATAATGTTTATTCACAATTCTGAAGGGCCGAAATGGGCTTATGGGCATGTTTAAAATTGACAGGTTAAATGAGATTTGACATTACTGTATAAACATTTCATGTTAATTACCTTTCAATGGTTGTTGGTATAACTTGATGGTTCTATTACTTGGGTGTTTGTTTTCAGACCAAAGCAAAGAAACTATCGGGGCCTAATGGGATAGGAGTGGCAACAACCATTGCACTAAATTACAATAGTTAAGAACCATTACACCAAGTACAATGAGGGATATGGTAATTAAGATACAGTTTCATTTGATTCAATCATCCTCCTCGGCTTTTAGCTATTATACAGTTTTGAGTTTTAGTATTGATTTTCTTTACAAAGTTAATGTCTCCTCTTGGGTGCCACTTTTTCAAACCTCAACCCTCAGAGTGGTAGTTGGCAGGGAACCATAGCCCATTTTTCTTCACCCCATCAGTTCATGGATCACATAGTCAGTGAATGAAACTCAACATGATTATATATTTGTTAATTCAATTGTTAATTTATCATTGATTATATACACACTCTGCTCTTCAAAAAAAGAAAAGAAAAAATGAATGTATTTGACAAATGTGAGAGAGAAATTTTTTTGATGAACTTAGCGAAAAGTTGACCTTTTTATTTATTTATTTTGATTCTTCATGTAGAAATGAGCTTTCTCCTGTGTGCGGAAGAAAAGAAAAAATTGATTAGCTTAGCAAAAATTTGATCTTTTCTGTTTCTTGATTTTGATTCTAGGTGTAGAAATGAGCTTCTTATTTTGCGGGAAAGAAAAGAAAAAAAGTGATAAGCTTAGCAAAATTTTGACCTTTTCTTTTTGTTTTTTTTATTCTTGATGGAGAAATGAGCTTTTGAGGTAGGAGTATGGTCTGCTTATACTCAAGCAGTAAAACTTAACACCATTAGTGAAATTTTACTAGGTTATTTGTTGTTAGTGGTGGTGTAGAAATGAGCTTTATGATTTCAATGGCCTGAATCTTTTTTGAATATGATTGTATTTGTTTGCATCTGATTAACAATATATAAATGATAGAATTTTGGCATTAAGATGTTGAAAATGAGCTTTGACAGCGTAATTGTTAAACCTAAAAAGGCATTTGCTTTTGTATCCCAAGTTTTCCCTTTCTTTCTCTCTTTATCCCCACCTAATATGAAACCATACAAGTATACAGTTTATTTAAAATGAATGCAACCATGCAGTCACCTAAATTCAATTTTTTGGTGCTTTGTTTTTCAGGGGAAACTGCCAGGTTCCAAAAATTCAAAGGATTTGAGGAATTTGTTAGACTATGAATAGAACTTCCCAATTATGTTAGTTTAATTGTTGTTGGGTTTTAATCATTGGTTATTATAAATCGGATTATTCAATTTACTTTTTATTACTCTATTAATATAGGTTAAGCTTTGATTTTGTAATTTAGATTATATAACTTTTGCATCAGATAGTAAGGGGCTGTTTGGCAACTTCTGAATATGTAAGTGCTGAACTAGTAAGAGGTCTGAATCATTAAGTACTGAACCAGTAAGAGGTCTGAACCATTAAGTGCTAGTATATTGCTTAACTATTCAGAGGCAAATGTCTGATCAATTCAGATAAGAGGTCTTAACCATTATAATACTTAACCATTCAGAGACAAATGTCTGTACCATTCAGAGGCTGAAACAAACAGCTCCTAACTATTGGATCGCCTTTGTATATGAAAAACTTAATTAAATTTTTTTATATCTTATTGCATCCCCACCTTTTAATTATTAATATTTAATAGGTTGATTCTCTACTTTAAGTATGATATGCATATACTATTTTATTTTGCTTGATATTTAAAACATTCATATGGTTACACAGTGGTACACTCTCTTTTGAGAAAAATTAACGTGTTTTGCACCTAAGTACTGATATGTTTAAAACATGGAAAATGTTAGGGGTACACCAAAAGTGTATCCCAAACATCCCCACCCCCTCCATCACCACACAAAAAAGGCAAGAAAATTTCAAAAAAAAAGTAAAAAATAAAAAGAAAATAAAATGAATGGTGTAGAGGCAAGTGATGTACATTTGGGGTACACCTTTGGTGTACTCCTAACATATCCCTTAAAACATTCATGTTACATAGTGAAACATTCAATACTTTTTGCCAAAAAAGTACGGAGTAGTTACATTGTGTTCCTTTATTGTTAGTTTTGCAACTATTCTTATGTCTTTGAATAAAATTTCAAAGTTGATGACAAAAACAAAACAAATGTCCACTATGAGTTGATGGTGAGTGGGGTATGTTAAATGAGAATAAATAATAATGGTATTTAATACGTTAAAAATTGGTTGTGCTAGATCATTTTTGGATATCTAAAATTGTTACTTTGCATTTGGGGTGAGTATTAGAATCGATAGCAAAATGCAAATAAGTTGCTCAAAGGGAGTATCTCAAGTTAATTGCTCCCATTTTTTAAAATTTTTTATGAATTTATATTTGAATTTCAAACAATTATGATGAGAATTCTACCACGAAATCTTAAATGCTTGGACTTATGACTTATTGTTACATTTGTAAATAGCATTGTTTTAATGGATCATGTTGAGGAGGTACTGAAGTTGATTTACACTAGCGATTTTTATTTGTAGACCAAGAGTAATTCACCATTTGATTCTAACTTTGCCTTCATAAATTTTTATTTACATTTTCAAAAAATATTATTCTTCCCGTGCTACATCAACATTTCTTCACAATTTTTTCACCAAAGATACTCTTAATATATAAATATTGAAAAATTTAGTAAAATTTTAGCCGTGCATCGCACGGGTATGAAGTCTAGTGATTATTTTAAAAAATGACCATAAAACCTAAATCTCATAAAGTGAGGTAGTGAGCTCCCCGGCATCGCCTGACACTCGAACTCATGTGGCCAACCCATCGATAAATCGTTTCATTTTTCCCCCCTTCCCAAATTAGGGCTTCGAAATTCATGCGTTATTCATTCTCCCTGTCAACGGCGAGAGCGGATTGTTAGATTCCTTGAGACTATCTTGGCTTGCCGGAGCGATTTTGTGCTAAATCTCCGATGAGTATGCGAGGAAGGTACCCGCCCGGGATCGGGAATGGTCGCGGCGGCGGCGGAGGGGGCGGTTACGGAGGGGGCAGCGGTTACAGTGGGGGTGGAGGAGGCAACGGTTACGGCGGGGGTGGAGGAGGCAGTGGTTACGGTGGGGGCGGAGGAGGTAGTGGTTACGGTGGGGGCGGTTTCCGTTCAAGCCAGAATTCTGGCGGCTATAATCAACCCAGGAACCATCATTATCAGTACGCGCAGCAGCAGCAGCAGCAGCCTCCTCAACCCCAGCAGTATGGCCAGCGGGCGTTGCAGAATCAGTCGCAACAACAGCAGCAGTGGCTGCGGCGGAACCCTAGTGGTTCTATGTCGGAATCTTCATCTAAGGAAATCTTGAAAACTGTACAATCCGAAGCTATTGATTCCAGGTGCACTCTTGCTTTGTTAACTACTCCACAAGCAATTAGTTGTGTCTGGCATTAACCATCAAGGATCTTTACAATAATTATTACGAGTATGTTGCCTTAATGGATGCTCGCCAAGAATTTGTCTTTACCATTATTTTCAATTAGGATTTTTCTGGTGTTAAACTACTGATTCTTTTCTATAATGATCAATAGACTGGTAGAGGCCCCTTTTCTGGGAGTGGCTTCACTCCCATAACTCTATCCCTCCTATTAGATCCTATATATGACAAAGAATATATGGTCCCGTTTTGGTACACGGAATTCAAACTATGGAATTAGAATTGAGGACTTCAATTCCAATTCTGGTGTTTGGTAGCACAAAAATTATGTGGATTTGGAATTGATAGTGTAAAAAATGAATTAGAATTGGTAGAATTCAATTCTATGGAATTAAATCCCATGGAATTTCAATTCCAATTCTGTATACCAAACGGACCCTATATGTAGAGTTAATCACAGGGGGAGATCATGAAATGATCCTTCTTTATGAACGTGCAATGAAGTCTATTTGTTCCATCTTCTAGAGTAAACTAGTCTAAACATACAATTACCATGTAATTAGGAGCTAGCATTAGCATTTCCAAGCGACCATGCTTACAATTTAATATTATACTCTTTTCTTACCATTGGTCTTTTTCTTTTCTCAGCTCTCAAGATTGGAAGGCTCGGCTAAATATACCCCCTCCTGATACTCGTTATCAGACTGAGGTGTGTTGTAATTCTATCTCATCTTGTATCTTTTTAGGAATATTTTTATTCTCTTCTGTAGCAATGGGTTCATTAATGGAAATATGCACACATTGAACTTCTTTGGGCCATGTAGAAGAAATGATATTTTTTAACCGCTGGTCTTTTGATCAGTTAATCTTATGAGGATGAAGAATCCAATTAAATGACTAAATGTATGCCATTTGGATGAGCATTGCTATATTTTATTCCAACTGCCTAAGTAAAATATATGAGTGGAGATAAAATATTTACCCTCAAGGAGATATTCTCTCTACATTATTTTGGGGGTAGAGCCACGGTCTGTGGACATCTTACCCCCCTTCCACAGAGCAAACTTCTTGATGAGATTTACTGTGTTTGTTTGGCTCATAGATAGATGCGTTACCCCACATTTAAAAATGAAAATTTCTGTTACATTTTTTCACAAACGAGTTGATGATGTTTTGTAGTGCACAACTTTGGAAGTTTTGTTTGGTTGGAGGACACTTTACAAGGGTCCCACTTTTTACACCTACTTGACTTAAGGAATGCTTTCAAGTGAATAAGACCTGATTTTGGTGCTATAATCCAACATCTCACACAATTTATTTTGTTTTGTTTTGGTATTAACTATGTTTTCTTTTGCCCAGGATGTGACTGCAACAAAAGGAAATGAGTTTGAAGATTACTTCTTGAAACGTGAGCTACTTATGGGGATATATGAGAAGGGATTTGAAAGACCTTCTCCCATTCAGGAAGAAAGTATCCCTATTGCACTAACTGGTAGTGATATTCTTGCTAGAGCTAAAAACGGAACTGGAAAAACTGCTGCCTTTTGTATTCCTGCACTAGAGAGAATTGATCCAGAGATCAATGCTATTCAAGGTATAGACTTTTAATTTTTGAAGGCTATTGCATGACAATTAAGTAAGCACTTAAGAAAAAGAATCTGAATGCATCTCTCAAAAGAGATCTTTCTTGCTCTATTTAAATAGTTTTGATGCTATCATATGCAGAATGTGAGATTTGACTTCTATTCTACCTTTTCTTTTGCGGGTAGCGTTATACCTCATCTCACCATTAAACATTTGGAATTGCAGTTGTTATACTCGTCCCTACTAGAGAGTTAGCACTTCAGACATCTCAGGTTTGCAAGGAATTAGGTAAACACTTGAAGATACAAGTAATGGTTTCTACAGGAGGAACTAGTTTGAAAGACGACATCATGCGATTGCATCAGCCAGTTCATTTACTTGTTGGAACTCCTGGAAGAATACTCGACCTTGCCAAAAAGGGCATCTGTGTTTTGAAAGAGTGCACAATGCTGGCTATGGATGAGGTAGCTTCACAAAGCAAAATGTTGTCATATTTTGTTACCTAATGCGACAGTGGTAAAACAAAAAGTACATAATATCCCAAAAAATTCACACTTTCCTTTTGCCCATTCCTAAATATCACTTTTCTCTCATATCCTTTAAAGAAATCCACTACATCTCTCTTTCTTTTAAACAATTTTTAACCACATACTTTTCAGAACTTCTTAAAAGTCTTGAAGTCAAACCATGAATTTCTTTTGGGGATGGAGGGACTGTTTATATAGTGTTTCTGTTTTACTTTCCTAGTTTTCGGGTGCTTATTGGATCTGGATAGTTTAATTATCTGTAGGAATATATTATTGGGCCTGGATAAAACTAGCATATCTTAAAGCAACTAATCTTCCATTCAGATTATTGTCATTTGTGACTAAATTTTTCTCGGTCAAGGATTTTCATTAGTTGTTGCCTTTTATGTTTGAATGGTCCAATTAATTATTACTCCCTCCGTTCTCAAAAACACTTCCTCTTTCATTTCTTTCACTTTCAATAAAACACTTCCACTTTCTATTAAAAACCCCTTTTACCCCTACTTTTTTTACCCTATGTATCACATCATACTTTTCCTCTAATAATCTATCCATCATATCTTATTTTTTACTCATCACATCTAGGGCAAAATTGGAAGTCAACTATAATTTAACACTTCCTTATTTTACCACTTATTTTATCCATCATCTCCGATGGAGCCAAAATTTTACCTGTTTTTGGCTTTGGGGTGTGATGGAATAAATCAAAATGGATATCTAAACTATTTGTGCTTCTTTAATTAATGAAGTAGCAGTTAGTCAAGCAATGCAACTTTCGACGTTGAGCCGGGGGTCTCTTTGGAAACAACCTCTCTACTTTCGAGTAGGGGCAAGGTCTGCGTACACACACCCTCCCCAGACCCTACTCTTGTGGGATTTAACTGGGTTGTTGTTGTTGTTGTTTGTTATTTTACCACTTGGTCAAAAGTGGAACTTTTTTCAAGAACAGAGGGAGTATTGTAAAATGGGCTTTTTAGTAAATAAATTGCCCAAACATCCTTGAAAGAAGCTTGGGCAAGAAATTCCTCTTTTTTATTTTATACTCAAGCAACAGAAACACCATGATGGCCCTGTATATCAATTTTAGGAGACATGATGTGACCTTAAAACAAATACCATCTTTTGCAATTGTACTCGGATAAACCAAACGCCATGCCAATTTATGTCTTAAATGCAGAAACTATCAGGAGTAATTACTCCTTGTAAATATACAACCAGTCTTTTGCTAAGAATATTAGTATATCACCTGAACGACCTCTTTCGAGTCTCTGGTCTAATTTGCACCTTTGCTGCCTTCTCTCATTGAAATTTATTTTGATGCACTATTAAGTAGTTACCTGCCAGATTATGAGTTTTAAAATGTCATAAGTGAATTTGCTATTTGCATTTAATAAAAGTTTGCATGTGATTACTGTTCACTATGTTTTGTCAGGTTTTCATCGTAATATAACCATTATATGGGAAAATCAGTAATGTTCATTTTGATACAGCATTGTTATAGAGTGAGCTAAAAAAGGTTCACATGTTTTTCCTGCACTTTGGACTCGTCTAAAATTTGTTTTGTATATTATTAATTTGGTGGAGGTTAACTCGACAAGTGTTTCAGGATTTAGTAAGCTTAAACTTAAATGGATTTTTTTCCAGGCTGACAAACTTTTATCCCCCGAGTTTCAACCTTCTGTGGAGCATCTAATCAGCTTTCTACCCGAGCACCGGCAAATTTTGATGTTTTCCGCTACATTTCCAGTGACTGTCAAGGATTTCAAAGATCGATATCTGAAAAAACCTTACATTATTAATCTAATGGATGAGCTTACTCTGAAAGGTATTACACAATTTTATGCGTTTGTAGAAGAGAGACAGAAGGTCCATTGCCTCAATACCCTTTTCTCTAAGGTATGATCTTCAGCGCGCAATTTTGTGAATGTATGAGTTTGAAATCCTTTTGTTACTCTCCTTTTTTATAATATTGCTCTTTACAGCTGCAAATCAACCAGTCAATCATATTTTGTAACTCTGTGAATCGAGTAGAACTGCTTGCAAGAAAAATTACCGAGCTTGGCTATTCTTGCTTTTATATCCACGCTAAGATGCTACAAGACCATAGGAACAAAGTTTTTCATGACTTCCGCAATGGTGCATGCAGGAATCTTGTCTGTACTGGTATCTTCTTGATGAACTATTTTTATCTTGTGACTTGTGATGTTGTACATGGGGGTGCTATGGAAACTGATCCGCCAAGTTTTTACATTCACAGATTTATTCACCCGTGGTATAGATATTCAAGCTGTCAATGTTGTAATAAATTTTGATTTTCCTAAGAACTCGGAGACTTATCTGCACAGGGTATGTTAAATTCATTTTGATTCTGCTTTTGTTTCTCCTGGATTCTTTATTGGTTTTAAAGCAATCATGGATTCAAAAGACGAAACTATCAATCTTGACCCGATGGGTTGCAACTATCATTACGAGATTTAAAAATTCATGAATTTCAAATTTTTAATTGTTTTTATATTATTTATTATTCATTACATGTTTTGATATATAAATCATGAAGGATATTTCATTTAAAATTAACATGAAATAAGTAAATAAAACATGTGAAATTAATATTTTTTGGGATATTAGATTGACAGTTTCAATCATTCTCATCTTGATTTAGTAGTTTTCATTTTCCAATCTATCTATTAAGTCTTGAATAGATAAACTCTGGATTATATGATTACTGGGAAGCTCATTTTTTTGATTTGGTTTGGTAGGTCGGTCGATCAGGAAGGTTTGGGCATCTTGGATTAGCTGTGAACCTGATTACCTATGAGGACCGTTTCAATTTGTATGTAGTTTTTCCCCCGCTTTCAGTTGGTTGCTGATGGTCACACACAATATGATTGTTTTCATGATTCCCAACGAGCTGCTTTTCATACGTAGGCACAAAATTGAGCAAGAACTTGGCACTGAAATAAAACCAATTCCTCCACATATTGATCAAGCCATTTACTGTGCGTAGTATCTGAAGATGAGCTGACTATGGTGAGATAAGTATCAGGTATTTCTTGCATTTTGAGTGTCATGTTACGGATTATAACTTGCACCTTTTGCTTTTGGTGTTGATTGGAGTGCTGCTGCATAACCACACGTAGGTAGGCAAGGTGATGGGTGATGTGGGATGATTTTCCCCAAATGTGGGATTTGCAATTTCTTTTCCCCTTTGAATTTCCTTTTTTCATACTTCTCAATTGTTTGGGTATATGTTTCATCGAGGACAAGTGTTGTATGTGTGATAAATAGACGATGAAAATGATACATTTTTGTTTGAATTATAATACTTTGATTGAAAACAATCAACTAATCCATTTAGGAACTGTTAGAAATTCATTTGAAAATACAATCCTTTCATTTTTGCCCAAGAATACAGAGAAGTGAAATGTATAAGGGAGAACTTCTTAGACAAGAGTAAAAAAGCTTGAAAACACCAAAATAGAAGTATTTAGTTGTTTAAGACCGAAATATGAGTTTACACTGTCATTGTTACTCTGTCACAATTGCCACATTGCCATAATGTCACTGCCATCTGCCCCGCCACCGGTTGCCGACACCACCAGCTCTGAACACATTGTCATATTACACTGTCATCACTTTTCCATCACATTGCCATCAATCTTACATCACACTGCCATTACACTCATATTAGGGAATTCAACTAGGTGACTCCTATTTTAGTATTTTAGATAAGTTTTACTCTTATGTAGAGAGTTTTCTTAATATATAAAGGAAAATGTTAAAGTCACCCCAAATCCTACCCCACTTTTCATCCCAATCTTCTCACGTCCACAAGCACTGAACAATTAACGAATTAAAGAATCTCTGCTAAATCTAATGGATATCCTTTGCCCCACCCCTAATGCATGGAGAACTTTGAGGTAAATGCTATTATGGACCTAATGTCCTTACATTTTTATGTGGACCTATAGATAAGGCTGGTAAGCAAATGTTTACTACCTTGAGCCTTTTTTTTTGCAAAAAAAAAATAAATTTATGTGAGGAAGTCTACAAAAAGCAGTTTGGATGTTATGGAAATAGAGTTGTACAGCTCACTAAGATAATGGCACTTTTATCTGTTCTGTTTGCAGACAGTTCATAGAAACATCGGCGCTTAGCTGCTACAGGATACTTATGCCTAGTATTGAAGGGTGCCCAAAATTGGCAGGGGTAACCATCAAGTTACCCAGACAACCGGAAAGTGACTTCTTTAGCTGGTATGGTATTTTTATTTAACACCTCAAGACAAAAAGGTGCCCTTTTACTAATTCTCTTCCCTGCTCCCCTTTGATCGACGTGTCTGAGAGAATTACGAGCACAGTGTGGTTGTCATATTTCATCATGGTATTTGTTGAGTTATTTAGATTCTTAGCATTGGGATCGTGTTTTCAAAATGAAATAATCTTGTCGCTCGAACAGATACGGGTCTTTCCTGCACTTTTTACTTGATTTTACGACGTTGTTTGGTGGTTTTAGAATCCTTGCTTTTCTATTGTTTTTGAACTTGAATAGTTGCTCTGTATTGGCCTTTTGGAACTATTGTGAACTGACTTCTTTTCTTGTTTTTTTTCCCTATTGATTACCAAAGATATTCTGTATCCCGATACGTTTTCGCCCTCGTCTCCCATTTTTAAATTTTCTATTTTTCAAGTAGAAAGTGAAAACTATGTTAATTTTAATATTGTGTACCATTTTTTCATATTCCTATAATAGAGAACTCAAACTGCAATTGTTTTGTACCCGAAAAATGCAATTGTTTGCTTCCACTGTTTTCCAAACCCAAACTAAAATTGTTCTCTATTTAAACAAGGACGATACTAAAGCTCATCCCCAAAATGGTTATATCCACTTTCATATGATTTTGCTAAATCCATGCCAATTAAGGCTGACAAATTGGTCGGTCAAGTTGGGTTAGAGTTCAATCACTTCGGGTTCAGGTTAATTTGGATTTGGGTCAATTTGAGTTCGGATTGGAAACTGTATGTTGGTGATTCAGTGTCATAAGTTTCGGGTCGATTCAATAGTTCATGACTTTGGTTTTTAAAAAATTTAAATTTCTATTAACATTTGCATTTTTCATTGAATAAATATAAAATATCAAAAATATGTATTAAACCTATTAGATTATTTTATTTTAAATTTTGAAGTAACCTTTAGTTATATAAATCAATATAAAGAATTTTAAAAATACATAAATTTTGAAAAAAAGTAAGATAATTATGCAATATTATTCAACATCTGTCAAAAAAATATGAATCCTTTATATATAAAAAGGGAACTCCATTCTATAAGAAGTTGACATTTGGCATATTCAAAGCTTGACATGTGGCATATTAGATGGTAATTTAACCAAATTTACTCTCTTTTATTATTTCACATTTTTTTACTCTTTTTTCATAAATGATATGGAGTAATTAATTATTTTGAACCCATGAATTCAAAATTAGAATTAAAATTATTTTCCGCGTAAATTATTACTTTTAATAAAATATCATTTTTTAAGGATGCTACGTACATATATTCTTAACATCTGTCTCGGATTCGTTAAATGATAAAATTTACAAAATATTTTTAGAATAATAAATAAAATACACTCCTCACCCATAAATAAATTTTATATTTATTCATTATACATTCAAATGATATTCCTTTGATTGTATTTATTTAAATTTAAATATTGACACCTATTAAATAAAATATTTATTTGACCTATAAATAAATTTTATATTTTTATGACACTTAATGTGTCACCTAATTTAAGGTAAAGAAAATGCGAATTCAATGTTTTGGAATACAATCTTTGAATAAATTTAATTGTTAAAGAGAAACATTCATTTTTATGAATATACTCTTTCCAATACAATACAATATTTTTTACTCGCTTCATTAATAAAAAAAATTTATTAATAAATAAGATGATTTTTTCACATTTAAATAATATTCATACAAGTATTAGTTTATTATACTTAAAATGAAATTAGTCTTGATTCTATTTATTTTAATAATAATGTACAATTAAAAACAAATAATACATTTCAATAGCTAGATTAAAAAATTAAAAATCAATATATGACTGGACTAAAATTGAAATTTTTTTAAATAATAAACAAAACATTCTCTTCATAAATAAATAATATACGAAGTATTATAAATTTGTTTATGATATGTTATACTCCCTCCGTCCCTAAATAAACTTCTCTTTTTGACTTTTTGAGGATTTAAGGGAGGGATATTTTTGTGCTGACTTTCCAAAAATACCCTTGATGTGATGTATAAAAGTGAGATGTGATATGTAGATTATTAGTAAAAAGGTATGATGTGATAGGCATGATATGAAAAAGTAAGGGGTAAAAGAGGTTTTTTAAGGAAAAAGAGAAGTTTATTTGGGGACAAAGAAAAAACGAAAGGGGAAGTTTATTTGGGGACGGAGGGAGTAACTAAGTTAGTTTTGATTCTATTTATTGCAATATTGATGTAAAATTAAAACATATAAAATATTTTAAAAATAACACTAAATTATTTATAAAACAAGTGATGACTGGACTATAATTGTGTTAAAATAAAAAAAAATACTATATGTAATTTCATAGTTCGAATATATTGATTGTTATGGTTTGATTTTAGTACTGGACAATTTAAATTCCAAAATATTTAATTTTTCATGATATATTATGATATGATATTCTTAATTAAGTCATATAATACAATTTTTCAACATTACTGAGTAAATATAAATAAGGAATAGATAAAATCAATTTTATTAGAAAATACAAGCATTTTTCCAATTTTATATTTTTTTCATTTCATTTATAATTAAACTATCAATGAATAAATTAGATTCCCTTCTCTAAAAAAAGATACTTTCTTAATCTCTAATGCAAACAGTTAATCACTAACTCTGATGCAAACGCTAAACTTTAACATTGTTCCCATAAATAAATTCATATTTATTTATGACATGTTTAAATAAAGTTAGTTTGTATTTTATTTATTTTCAATATTAATGCAAAATAAAATATAAAAAACATTTTAATCTCAAATTAATACTAGACTAGATTAATCTCAAATTCCGTCCATATTGATGATTCTAGACACAAGTTAACCCCTAAAGAGTATAGTATATTTCACTTATTTGAATTTATTGGATACGATGGAAAGTTATTCTTTTTTCGATGATAGAAGACTACTGTCACCCATGCTTGAGGTTATAGAAATGATAAATGAATGTCATATCTCTCATTCCCAAAGATGCAATGGTGTGTCCGAGTTCTGATTCTTCATGCCAAGTAGGTTTAGATGTAGGTGTTGATGATGATTAGATAACAGTTGAGTTTTTAAATAATTCAAATGTTCAAAGATTCCAAACCACAAAAATAATTTTTAAAAAGGGGGTACCAATTATATTATTGGGGAACATTGACCAAACATCTGAATTATGTAATGTTACAAGATTAATCATTGAAGAGCTATGAAAGAGCGTTATCGATGCTTTTATGGTTTTGGGAAATTCAGTCAGGGAAAAAGTTTACATACCTTAGATGAATTTGGTACCATCTAATCTAATTAATCCTGAAATTCTAGAAAAGACAATTTCCAATAGTCTTATCTTTGTAATGACTATCAAAGTCAATGTCAAATATTGTCATTTGTTGGATTATTTTTAACCAATTAAAAATATTGAAAATAAATAAATAACAGATGACAAAAGAGTCAAGATAATGACAGGATTAAAAATATTATTTCCAAATGACAAATGAAACCATTGCAACCATACCAAAATTGTTATATAAGCTGAAATTTATCATAAAAATTTGTATTAAAAAAACTTTGTTGAGTACACATTCAATTACTCAAATATTATTTATTCTACTTTGGCATTTTTGTCTATAGTATTAAAAATCATGTCAGAATTATATAATTTTTTTGGAAAAATATTGCATTGAAAAGGTTTCAGAATCAACAAAAATTTAGTTCGACCCGTGTGTCGCACGGGTTAGAATACTAGTTTATATACTAAAAACGAGTAGTAAAAAAATTATAATTGTTCCAATGTATTTGTTCAGTTTGATTTTTTTGAGTTAAACCGGATAAATTTTGATCTTCAATTAAATAATGTAATATATTTTAGCATAAAAATGACTTTATTAGAATTATCGTATTCAAAACTTTCAAAATCGTATTACATAATACTAATATTGAATACAAATTGAGAGTAATTGAAATTCAAAGTTTGGCCAATTTGACTTGAAAAAGTTAAACTGGACAAATACACTAGGACGATGTTGACTGAAGTTAAAATACAACGGAGCACATCAGAAGATCTACAAAACTAATGGTAATATGATTATATTATTTTTTCAAATTAATCACGAAAATAGAGAAATAAAGTGAATGAAGTTTGATCAGGTGAAAAGTAAACACTCAATTTTATTTGGGACGCAGGGAGTATAATTTTCAACGACTCTTACATTCAGGTTGGATTCGAGTTCGATTGGTTTTGACCCATTTTTAGCGAATTATTTCAAGTCTGGTCAATTTTGGGTTTGGTCATCAAAACTTTTGTTCAAAACTTAATATTTTCATGTCGGATTTTGGGTAAAAAACAAGTCGGGTCATTTTTTGTAATATCTAATGCCAATATTAAATTGAATAAATGTTTTATAAACTCTGCTCGAGAATTGAACAAAAAAACAAGTCGGGTCATTTAAGTGCCATAAATTGGTTGCAATGACTCGAAAGTTTGTTCACCTCCCTTCTTTTTTGACAACAATATATGATGCCGACAACAACCCCAACCAGAGTAGCTATGGTGTTCCAATCGTGCAGTTAATAATTTTTACTCTCACCCTTTGTTAAATCCTCCAACCCAGCCTGACTCACCCCTTCAATTTTATTCCATAATTTATTTAACTTTTGAGTCAAAATTTTTTATTCAAACGTCAAGTAAATTTTGGGAATAAAATTAAAGGGGTTGGAATATTTAGTGTCCAATTCCCATCCTATCTTTAGAAGGTCAGTTGTCACAACACCCCTTGTTCTCAAAAGAGTAAATTTCATAATTAGTCCTTTATAACAGGAGGGTTTGCATATTTAGTCCTCTATTATCAAATATTAACCATGTAGTCCTTTTTTTAAGGGTACCTTTCCACAAATGGTCCTTTTTTGACCTTCTGCCGTGTTGGTGTTAATTTAAAGGCTGAAAATATAATTTGATGTCAACATTATGTCTAGTGACGTGTTCTGATATTGGTTAAACGGATAACACAAAATAATAACTATGATTGTGAGCTAGGATTCTGACGAAAGATCACATTTTTAGACTATAATTGTCGTAAAAAGCGATTTTAATTCACAAACAACGCAAACAGAACAACCTTTGGAAGTGTATATGACAAAAAAGATATATTATCATTGTGAAATTACACTTTTAGCCCTCAAATTAACACCAACATGATAGAAAATCAAAAAAAGGACTATTTGTGGAAAGGTACCCATAAAAGAAGGACCACTTGGGTAATATTTGATAATAGAGGACTAAATAGGGAAACCCCCTTGTTATAAAGGACCAATTATAGAATTTACTCTTCTCAAAATAAGGGGCTCTCTTTTGTTTTAATTGATTTTGTTTGTCCTACTTTATGCTCCCCTTTTGATGTTTTGGGCCGAAAGTCTCTTATAAATAAATTTTCTACATTTTGAAATTTTACAAGGTCTATTATTGTTGTGATTTGAGATTTGATTACTACTAACTCTAGCCTAACATACTATGCTCACTCTTTCCAAGAATATTTTATTTTATCAAATAATCAATGAAAACATGTAAATTAGTAAAAGTTATCAGAAGGACGAAATGAAAACTGTGTAATTGATTTAGTGATGGATGGAGTATCTTTTTCATATATGATTTTTCACGATATGTACCATACACTTTGACTATAAATATCTATATTTATGCACTACTGTAACAATTTGAAAAGGAAATTAAAAAGGTTTTCCATATAAATTTTGGTTTGCATAAATCCACTTATAAGAATAAATAAAAAAAAGACTTACATTGAAATGAAGATGTGTCACACTTATTACCCCATTCACAATATTTCCAACATAAAAAAAGGCCACATATTAAATTGTTGTGTCACATTTACCCCCTTATTAATTACTCGTATCATTTAATTATAGTGAGAGATGGCCTTGCTCCACCAAGGACTTGACAGTATCATCAAACATCTCCTCAATGGACCTGAACTTCATTCCTAGACTCTTCAACTTTGAGGTGTCAAATTCATAGTATGGCCTGTCCTCATGTTTCCTAAACCTGAAACAATCACCCATTAAATTGTGATTAGGGCTAGCATTAAGGAATATTTCCATGTGTTAACAAAAGATTATATTACTCTATTTAGTTATACAGAGGGATTCCCATGACATTGAAATCCTCATGGAGTCCAACAAAACACTGATGTCATATGATAAATGTTAAATTCGCGATCAAAAGAATCGCGCTCTATACATATATGTATAGTGTACCTGTTTGAGATGTGAAGGGTCGGGTAACGCGATGATAGAATGGAGGCAAGCTCGGGGAGCTCGACAACGTCGGAGCTGCAGAGGTACCTCCCGTGCGCATCCTCATGCTCATAAACAAGAATGTGGGAGGCGGCAACGTCGTCTATGTGCACATATCCCATCCTCCCATGCATTTGAAACTTTTCAGTCTCCCCTGGTTAAAAAAATAAAGAAAAAGAATAAAGTTTGACGCTGTGAATAGTAAAAAAGATAATTTAATTTGAGATGGAGGAAGTACAAAAATGAACGATGGAGAATTACTGAACTACCCTTAAAGAAGCCAAGAACATCTGATGCTGTGGAGCACAATTGTGGGGGTAGGCTTGGTCCAATGATAAATGTGGGCAAAACCGTCACAAGATTTATATTGTTCTCTTTGCAGTAATCCCATGCTGCTCTTTCCGCCATGGTTTTTGATAGTGGGTACCAAACCTTATTTGTCAAAAAAAAGTATTCCGGTATGAATTAATTAGGGACAGATGAAATAATATACTTCCTCCGTCCTAAAAAGATACTCTCTCCGTTTCTTAAAACTCTTCTTCTTTCATTTTTTTTTTTGTTTTTCTTAAAACACTTCCCTTTTCTATTAAAAAACCACTTTTACCCCTACTTTTTCATACCCTACCTATCACATCTTACTTTTTCACTAATAACTAAACTATCACATCTTACTTTTACACATCACATCAGGGGCAAAATTGGAAAGTCAACTAAAATTACACTTTTCTTATTTTTTCCCAAAGTCAAAAGAGGAACCGTTTTGAGAAACGGAGGGAGTATTTACATTTTGACATTTATAAATTTAAGTGAGAGATATATATTTTTATACTGACTTTCCAAAAATATAATGATGTGATTAGTAAAAGTAGAATGTGATTATAAATTATTAGTAAAAGGTATAATGTGATAGGTAGATTAAGAATCAGTATGAGTGTAAGACGCCCACTCCCCGGGATTCATAGGGAAGTTCATCTAGATTCGAGCCTCCGTAGAGGCGGCGACATTGGCTCTTTGAATGTCATTAAATTGAGAAAAATATACAAACCGATACTACATTGTAATAGAGTTAATGACACTAAAAAATACTGGGCATGATATTTGAAAGCTACATTTTAAAAGGAATCAATCCTTGTTAAATTCATATTCCGTATTACAATTCAATCTATTTTTTCTGTAATTTATGATTAAAGTTTAAAAAGATTGACCATAAAAGTAAATATGAGAAGAAACATACGGAGTATGAGACACAGAGAGTAATTTACACTAACACATATATTAAATACTCCGTTCGTTAAAACAACTCCTTATTTTCTTTTTAGGACGTCCAAAAAACATCCGTCTTTCTTTTTTAGAATGTTTTGGGAGGTTCACAATCATTTTCTCTTCTCTGCATCACTTTCAATCATAAATTTTCATTTTTCTTAAATTTTGTGTCAGAATCTTTTTTAGGACGGAGATAGTATCAAATATTATAAACCCAAATGTGAGTATCAAATATTTTAGAAAAATACGGAGTATATATTATAAACCGAAATGTGACAGAAAAAAAGGACCTGAAGGGCGCGACAGAGATGGGGAGAAGACCAGGAAGACTCATCCAAGGGTAGTTTTGGGTCAAAGTCATCTCTAACCCTAACAGCTGAAGAAGATGAGGTGAGAACCACGCGCCTCAACCTCGCGTTCTTCTTGCATGACCTCAGTACGTTCAACGTCCCCTCCACAGCAGCTTCCAACATTCCTTCCTGCATCCATCCATCCATTTTCATTTTTTAACTTTTTATGCAGTTTAAGAAAAACAATCATGCTATACTTAACTTAAAAAATGTACCCCAAAGTTACACGAGAGGTATACACTAAATTTTGATGATTCACACTGACACAAAATGCTGGTGCGTTTATCAGGGCCGGCCTCGAAAATTGAAAAAATAAAATTGGCCCGGTCTAAAATTTACATTTTGTGCCCTATTTTATATTTTTAGAATACTTTTACTTTAAAATTATTACCAAATTTAAAAATATGGTGCCCTAAATTTTAAGGGGCCCTGTGCGGTTGGCCACTTTGCACACCCTCCGGGCCACCCATGGTGTTTAAAAACAATTACACTAATATTTTGTTTACTATTCTAAAATTACGATAATTATATATATATATATATATTCATTGATTATTAGATAAACTAAAATAAAACATTCTTGTCAGATCTTGTTTTATGCTCCCTCCGTTTCAATAAATCATTCCTATTTTGACCTTTAGCAAAAATAAAGAATGTATGTTTATGGTTGATTTTTTAATTTTGTTCTCAATATGATAAATAAAAGTAAGATGTGATGGGTAGATTATTAGTAAAAAAGTATGATGTGATAGGTAGGATAAGAAAAAACAGAAGTTTTAAAAGAGGAAGTGTTTTAAAAACAAAGTGAGTACAATTTTTGATTGAGTTTTTAAATATGCAAGTTTTATTTTTTTATTTCTATACCAATTTTTAAATAAAATGAATTAAAAAAAATTAAGTATTTTTTCGTTTTGCGCAACTTGTAATCTATTATGGAGCGAAAGGAGTAGTCTCTTTGTTTTGAAATAAATTTTTAAATTAGTAGAAAATGATCTCGAAATAGGTAACATTGTTCATTAGCAATAAATTCGATAAGAAGTTCATTCATTCATATCTAGTCGATCCGGGATAACTCTATCCCACCAGATACACAAGGTTTTTATATAGTTATAGGTCGAGACATAAACACTGTTTAATAATGTGAACCACAAAATTTTTTCTTTTTAACATAAAAATTATTAAGGATAAAGTACTTACAAGATCTCTAGATATTTTTAAAAGTGTTTTCCAAGTGTCTGAATTATTTTAAATACTTTCTAGATCCCTATATATTTTTGGATGTGCTCCATAGGTAGCTAAATTATTTTTAGTTTCTACCAGGTCCATATACTTTCTACATGGTGCATTAGTAGTCCCTACAGTGGCATTTTTCAGATCAACTGCGCGGAATTTGAGCAGCACGCTCAAGTTGTTCGGAAATTTATGATATAATAACGTCAATTCCTATAGAAATTTCAGGAGACTTGGTCTGAAAAACTATCGAAGGAACCACTAACACACCAGGTAAAAAAATAGAGATCAGATAAACACTAAAAATAATTTAGAGACTTCTGAGGCATTTTAAAAAAATATAAAGAACTTGTAAGAAATTAAAACAATTCATAGACTTGAAAACACTTTTGAAAAACAATCGAGACTTTAATTTGTAAGCACTTGAGCGAGTAGGGAGTATGAATTAAGGACATTGAGAAAAGATAAGGTAAGGAGAGTGAAAACATACATTAGGAAGAGGTAGGACGGGGGAAGCAGTGTGAAAGACACCTTCGCAGCCATTAATGGCGTCGTCGAAGCTCCCTTCTACCGTAAGATCAGCCTTCACCAGCTTCAGCCTTTCTTTTGCTCCTTCCACCTTCCATAGGTGCCCTACTTTCTTTTCCTCCCCTGCTTTTTATTTTTTTTCTATTATGTTACGGTATAAAACAATACCGAGTATAATTTAACTTTCACTTTTTATTTTCTTATAAAACTATACCAATTTCAATTAAAATCTCATACTTTACTCCTGTTAATTATTATCTTACCTGTCATATCATATCTATCGAGTATTTATTACTTACTCTAGTTCTAAAAACTCTTTCTGTTTTACTTTTTTTAGTTGGAAACAGTAACACTCTTTGATTTTTTTATATATTTTTGATTTATTAATTTTTTATGGTCAAATAATGTCACTGATTGACTAAAAAATGTATAAATAGGAAGAGTTTTTACTTATTACTTATTCTTATTGGAATCAGATCAGACCAGATAAAAATAGCTTTAAATAAAACTACATTTAGATCATACCAAATCAGAATTTATTCCAATCAGATCAGGTGAAGAGAACATAATCTTAGTATTTTGAAAATTAAAAATGTACCGATAAAACATTATTCTCAACAAATACTGTAATTAATTTAAAATATTATTTTAAACAAGGCCTTAATAAATGTACCTGGGTCCCTGACGGTGCCAATGACACTATAACCAGACAAAAGAAGTCTCTTTATAAGCCAAGAAGCTAAAAACCCAGAAGCTCCGGTGACACACACAAGTTTATTACTATCCCGCCCATTATTATTATTCCCCATAATACCCTCGCCGGCGGCGGCTGCGGCCTTCATCCCTTCCATCATGCATCTATCTAATGATACTTCTCCTAAAGATACACTTTATATATGTATGTGTATATCTATATGCATTATGGTGATGAAGGAAGCTAAGAAGGTCAATCACGTCTTTTTTGTGAGGTAACCAATTATTCACAAACACACAACAACCCCTCTTTTTCTTTTCTTGTTTTTTTCCCCTAAATACATTAGGGCAAGATAGTATGTTTGATTCCCCTTTTTCTAAATTACATTTTTCTAAATTTTGTGTGTGGTTGAGAATAATAGAGAGAAGAGAGGATGTTGTGAATCATTTTATGCTTCTTTGAAAGTTTTAGTGTCGGTGAGCGTTGATCAATTGACAAGGCAAGCTATACCAAGGGATAATATACACTCGAGTTCGATTTCTGATAATTATGATATAAGACAACTATATTCTAAAATGAAGGAAGCAAGATTTTAAAATTTATTGGATGCATATTTTTTTGGTACTCCTATATTGGGAGAACTTCCTGGCTAAAACAAAAAATATATAAAAACACCAAAATAGAAGTCTTAAGTCTTTTAAGACCAAATCAAGAGTGCAAACATTGGAATGTTACCCATAAATTATGTTTTTTCATCAACCAAAACGTCTGTCCGAAATTTTGCCTTTAAATATGGCGTCAGGGTATGCTTCGAGACAATCAGAACTTTCATACTCGTTCTAGATTACTTTCTCTTATCCGATTGAAGTATTTTTGTATATCTTAGAATAACTTTAATCAGAAAGCTTTTATAAACTATTCAGTAAATCTATCAATTCGCTCTTCATGCTCTACATATACTGATTCTCCAATGTTGCATCGCAGCGTTATTGTCCATCTTGAATTCCCAACATATATGAGTAGCAATCAAACTTAATTTTCTCATCAAAGTAAGTCTTAGATCTATTTTTTAAAAAGACCGTTGATAGATAGTAAATAATTTTACTAAAAAATACTCCCTCCGTTTCTTAAAATATTTCCTCTTTCATCTTTTTTATTTTTCCTAAAACACTTCTATTTTTTATTAAAAATTATTTTTATCCATATTTTTTCTTACCCCAAGAAATAGAGAGAGTATTAATTTACTGAATTTTTAAATAAATAAATTTCTATTAATAATGTATCTATTGGATTAAGCTTCTAGAAACATTTGTTTTACTTTGACCTTGAAATTTAATAAATTAATTTCAACAAAGAGAATAAATAAATCTTGTATGGAGTATTTAATAATTTAAAACATGAACTAATAAACCAAATGAATTTTAAAGGGACTAAAAACAAAATTTATAAATTTTAAAGGCATCAAAACATATACTCCGTATTTAAATTTGAAAATATAATAATTTTACAAGGATGATTTGATTTAAAAAACTTCAAAAGGACGACCAAAAACAAAACTTGTTAGTTTTGCAAGAAACATATTTAACCATTTTCTTTTATTTTATTATCTTATTTTTAAATTTTACTCCATATATCTTTTCTTTTAATAATTTATAACTATGATTTTTATTTTCTCATTTGATTTAATATGTTTTTTATTCTCTAATTTTTTATTTTTAATCTTCAGTTTTATTTTTTATTTTTTTAATTTCTCCTAATAGTCAATTCTAAAAGAAACACTCATTGGCCTTTCAGATTTTAGCTTTTTGAGCCGAGTAACCAAGTGAAAAAGTCATATGCCAAACAGTAAACTTAGTTGTTTGATTAGTCAAAATTGACAAAATTAGTCAAAAAAAGCCAAAAAAGAATCGAAAAGTCATTTTTCAAAAGCACACAACTAATCATTAATTGTGTGTGTCTAAAACAGATTAATGGTGTCAATCTTGATATGACGTGTAGTGTCACAATAGCCATTATGTGAGTTTAAGAGCATCAACAATGACAATGCAAAAATGGAATACCACACGGTGATGTAGAATATTTTAACCAATCAAAAATTGTCCAGTCAGCGTGTGACAAGTGAATGGAGTGGCAAATTCTATAGTGGCAAGTCATTAGTTTTACTCCCTCCGTCCGGATTTTAAGTTCCCGGTTTGACTATTCTCCATTTTTAGTGGAAGTTGACTTTGTCTAGAATTTGTCCAAAATGCCCCTAAAGCCCAATCCTTCACAACAACTGATTGCTTGCCGCACCAAACAAACCCCAAGCTACGGAACTATCGGAACACATCGCCGCACCAAACAGACCCCAGTGGCCAGTGCGACGGATCTACTGCACAATCCGAGCAATCTCTCCCTTTCTCTACTGCGCAAACCAGGCCCAAGGCGAATTTCTTGCCACACTAATGGATCTTTAGATTTTGTAGATCTGAAAAAAACGAGACCCAAACTCTGGTAGAAGAAGAAAATGACAAAGAAAAAAAAGAAGGGGGAAGAGACGGGGGAGATGAAGGCTAGATCTAGCCGAGAAAAGAAAGGAAAGAAGAAGAAGAAGAATAATAAGAATAAGAAGAAGAAGAAGAAGAAGAAGAAGAAGAAGAAGAAGAAGAAGAAGAAGAACAAGAAGAAGAAGAAGAAGGAGATGCAGGAGGAGGAAGGAGAAGGGGAGGAAGATAACGAGAAGAAAAGGGGGAGGGGAAGAGAAAGAGAAAGAAAGAATTCACCTGTGGTGGCGGAGAAGAAATTGGCCGACACAGAGAAAAAGAAACACGGGAAAGGATGGGAAATGAAAAGAATTAAAGGGTATTTTGGGAAGATTGGGTATGAAAACGTAGAATGAGAACTTTATTTCCGGACGAAAAAAAGCGTAGACTGGGAACTTAAAATCCGGACGGAGGGAGTATCACTTTTTTGCATTTTTTTATATTTTTTAAACATAAAAAAATATTTTTATTATTTATTTTATCAAAAAATTATTCTTCTTTAATTTCTAATACATTTTTTTTCATAAAGGAATTTTTAAAAAAATTAAAAAAAGAAGGGTGGAGTGTCACACCCATGCCTCACCAAGCAATGCATTTTGGCCTTGTCATGCCATGATATGAGTGGAAAGAGCTGATGTGGCAATGCAAGATATTTCACTTCCTTGCCACTGCACATGCTCTAAATCTAGTTTTTAAATGTCATACATAAATTAGTATTTAAATTAGCACCAATGTCTAAACAAGTTGAATTGAAAATAATTTTAATTTGATTAAGCTATCTTATCCGCAATGAAACAATTTTGGGGAATAGGAGTATACTCACACTATAGTATTTGGTTTATATCATAAAATGTTCAAAAAACTTCAAAAAGAGAATGTTCAATATATCTTTCTTAATATATGTTCAAAAAAAGCTACTTTATTTCCTTCTATGAATTTTCTTAATACAAAACTAAACTACATATTTTCACCTTTTTTGAAATGGTAATTGTATTCGACTGGATTAATTGTGAAATCTTATTAATTAGTCTTTCCGTCCCTATTTTTTATCCAGCTGTCAAACTGGACGTATTTTGTTTATCAATAATTCTTTATTTGTATTATACATTAGTACAATGAAATAAACTTTCAAAATATGTTTATGTTTGACTCAAAAAAATGAAACTGGACGACAGTGGTAGTATTTAAAATAAAATATGACAAAATAATTTGTGAAACACGTAGAGAAAGAACGAATAATACCTTTGCGAATAGTTTTGTTTAAGTTTGAAGTTTGGCTGATTCTGGCAATGCTTCATGCTCAACCCGTGGCAGTCTTTAAAGCCAAGAAAAAAAATTGGAGAGTACTTTTCTCTCTCCTGCTCGAAAAATTTCAACTTGTTATTTTGGAAAGAGCAAGTATATAGAAATATAATTGGTTCAAATTCAAAATCAAATTTTTTTATTAAATAGTTTTTCCCTTCGATCATTACTATAATATTCCATCCGTTCAAAAAGCAATGTCATAGTTTACGCTCCGTTGATGAGGCAAATGTATTATATTCATTCATTGCTATTTGGATTTGCTTACGTATAGTAGCATTTGTTCTTTTGTGAAACCCTTGGCGTAAGCATTTTACTGTTTCGTTTGTTGCTTTATTATTTCTGAACTCTTGAAGATGATACAGAAGATGCTACAACGCCTTGTTAATCGCACCTTTCGGTAATATGTGTTACGTTGTAGCATCTCTATGGCCTGCGTGCGTGTTCTATTTGTTTCATTTAAAGTGCAGATATGTTTTGTTGGATCAATAGAGGCTTTTAATTTGCTATAGTTTTATAAAAAATTTGGGATTTTAGTTTTTGCTTTTTCTAAATTAAATGTAAAAATGGATACTACCAAAATAATACAGAGTAGTTTTTGTTCTTTTGTTGGCTAGACTTTACTACGGAATTTTTTTTGTTTTAACAGAATTCGACACCGTATTTTTTAGAGACAGACATAAATTACAAGTGTTTCTATTCTGTATAGACAGTTGTTACTTGTTTGTTAGTGAGAAACAATATGATTTCCTAAAAAAGGCAAGGTTCTAGAACCTTGCCGTTCCTAAAAAGGCAAGGCTCCTCTAACTTTTTTCTTATCTGGGTACATATGTATTATATATTCCCCATAAGGGGTATTAAAGGTATTTCCACCATCCATTCCCACTCCCTTAGTTTGAGTGCCAAAACAAAAGTGGATGCGATGAACACTCCGAAATGAAGGGAATGTTTTATTATTCTGTGTTTCTTACTCCGTGTCAAAATAAATTTTATACTTTCTCATTATTTTAAAGAAAGAATTGTGTAAGTCATATTATTAATTATTTTGAAGCAACTTGGAATCAGATATAGACTAGTTTTAATATTTTTCCTAGACAGAAATTTATTGAGGAGATGAAGCTTTTTTTTCCTTTTAAAAAGAATGACCTTCAAATTGTGTTCACTGATCTCAAAAGAGGCGTACAAGAGGGTGATCTTGTGGAGATGCCTTAAGTTCACTAGGGTTTCGATTACGTACATTCATGTAGAGAAAGATATGTACATTGGGGCAAGGACCTATGGTGAGTGGTGACCCTAATTCTTTTCCTGTACATGCGAGGTTAAACCAATGGTCTTATTGCAAGATGTTCAGGGAAAGGTTCCTCGGCGCATACTTTTTGCTCATGATATTGTATTGATCAATGAGACTTGTGATGATAAGTTAGAGTTGTGGCGACATTACATGGAATCCAAAGGCTTCAGACTTAGGCACTTAGCAAAACTAAGACTGAGTACTAGAAATATTGCTTCATTGGTTGAGTGATGGTATCGTGCAAATTAGGATTGATTCAAACCTAGTATCTAAGAGAGAAAGGCATCGTTTTCTCACTTTGGTCATTCAGATAGATCGAAGAGATAGACCGGATATTATTCACTGTATCAAAGTCACTTGGGCTAATTGGAAGCTGGATCTTGGGGTCCTATGCCATAAGAAGATTTTATTAAGGATAAAAGGTAAGTTGTATTGGTTATAGTCAGACTAATTATGCTTTAAAAATGCAGTGTTGGGTGATTAAGAAAGCTCATGTTTGTCGAAATCTCACGTTTGTCAACTTTATGCGATGGAGATGCAGATGCTCTGATGGATGTGGGGGCAGACGAGGTTGGATAAGATTCAAGATTAAGATATCTGGGATGGGTGGAAATGTCATATATGGAGGATAGGCTACGAGAGGCTCGCATTGAGGTCTCGTTGGGAGATGCGAGATGCTTTGAGTGGAGGTGGGGAAAAAGTAGGCCTAAGAAGAATTAGAAGGAGTTGATTGAATATGATTTATAACTTTAGCTTCAATTGTGTTTACACTAGCCGGAAGTGTCAGCTCTTAGGATTGTTGACTAGCACACAAACTAACAAAAATTTTTCCCACACACTTTGTCCTCACTCGTACGAGCCTAGGAAATTTCTCTGGGGATCACCCATCCTAACATTGCTCCAAGCGAAGCACACTTAACTTTGAATTTTTTTACGAGTTGAGTTCTTGAAAAGAAGATGAATCTTTTTAGTATGGATTGTACTATTAATTATTTTGAGTTCTTTTAATTCCATGTTAGTACGAGGGAAAATATTCACCCCACGTAAGAATGTAACATCCTCGTTGTACCCTTCTCAAGCCTTTTGATATTTCCTGCTAGATGACCTAATAAGGTCGTTGGCCCGTCATGGTTACAGTGTTGCTCTGATACCATTTATAACACCTAGGCCAGAAGTGTCTGCTCATAGGATTGTTGACTAGCCCACAAACAAACATAAGTTTTTCTTGTGCATTTTGTCCTCACTTGTGCACGCCCGCAGAACTTCTCAGGGTCACCCACCCAAAAATTGCTCTAAGATAAGCATGCTTAAGTTTGAAGTTTTTTAGAGATGAACTCTCAAAATAAGATATGTCTTGTTAGTATGAGTTGTACTATCCATACTTTTAAGTTCTTTTATACGGAGTATTCCATACTGAACATATCACTTTAGATATGAATGTTTGAAAATCAAGAAAGAATAGTTAAATAGTCGATCGGATCTGAATCATTGTAGTAAAAAATTTATATCTCCAACCCCAAGGCCCCCCCACACACCTCAGCCCGATGGAGTAGAGTCGCTTGGATCTGAATCGTAGTTTTTGCTCTTGTCATTGTGCACATTTTTGGGTTTAGGGTCTTCTTGTTTGCATTTGATTATGTGCCTTTATTTCTTGGTACATTTTTATGCAATTATTTTGTTCTTTGTTATTTATCAATTATAATGTTGTGTTTACTGTGTTGTTCGAGCTAAGAATCTTTTGGAAACAATTTCTCTACTTTTAAAGATGAATATAGTCTACATATACATAAGTAGACCTGGCAAAACAGAACCGGAACTGATTACCCGAACCGAAATATCCGAAACCGAAACCGGAATGATCCGAAAAATGAAGATCCGATCTATAACCAAAAACCCGAAATGATCCGAACCGAACCGAACTAAATAATTCATATCCGATTTAAATCCGAAACCGATTAGATCCGAAACCGATAATATCCGAACCGATTAAACCCAAAACCGATTAGATCCGGACCCGATAATACCCGAAACCGATAAAATCCGAAACCGATTAGATCTGAAACCGATAATATCCGAACTCGATTAGAACTAAAATCGATAAATTCAGAACTATGTTTACCTTTCAATAAGCATATTATATTTTTAAATTTTTACTTTTAGTTTACCATTTAAACTAGTTACATTACTTGCTCATTCCCTCATAAAATGGATTATCTTCTTGAAAAAAAGTACAAATTTTTATGCTTTAAATTTATTATATGTAGAAATTAAAGATAAGTTATACATATAAATGATAACGCACAAACAAATAAAATTTCCGTAATTTTTAAATAGTGAAGTGTGATATTCTTTTTGGACGAAAGGAATATATATATGATGAATTGTATGGAATAATTAAATTTTATCCTAATTTCATCTCATTACAATAAATTTTATTGATTTGAGAGCTAATTTGATTAGTTTCAAACCAATTTACTCAATATTAGTCAATAAAATTAAATGTTAGTGTTAGCATTTTGAAAAGACTCTCTAGCGGCAGCCTTTACTGTTATCATTTTCAAATTTGATCTACACCATTACATTTAGGTGTAAAATTAATTATATTTGACTCTATTAAATTTAATTTTCTCTATTTTCAACCAAATATACTCAACAATTTACAAATTTTGCACTCAATTGAATAAAATTCACTTAATTTCACCCAATTTTACTCAATTTTACCAAATTCTATTCAAATGGAACATAAGACTATTTGAATTTATCTTTTATCCTTTCATTTATATACATAAGTATATTAGTAGATGTGAGAAAATTTTTATATTTCAAAACTAAATTTTAAAATCAATTTAATTATATTAAATTTATATCATAATTAAATATATATGTTTTCATAATTTGTAGTCCAA